GCCGTGGCTGCCTGCCATGGCTCCGGTGCCTCTGAGTGCCACGGCTGTAAAAAAAATTCTGAAATGCATTCGGTGTGTAAATGCCAAGGAATATGGGATGACTTGTGGCACTGCAAAGTGCGGCTCCAGCCATCGAGAGGTCGAGCACAGCCCTGGGAGGAGCCAGGGGATGCATCCCCCTGCACCCGGTACCCGCAATCCAGCCGGGAGAGCTGCTGTGGCACCAGTGGTTTGAAAATTCTGCCTTCAGATGCCGTAGCTTTTATTTAGCCTCCCGAGGCATGTTTGAAAAGAGCCGCTGCATGTTTGGTGTGTTCTGGGAGACCAACAGCCCCCCCAGAACTACAGGAAAGGACACGTAAATATCGCGGGGGCATCTGTTTCCAATAGCCTGTGTTTACGTATTAATGTGCAATACAAATTTGTAAACACGAGCATTTGAAACTTTGGTAGGAACCGATACCGGCTTTTTTCCCTTTCTGCGGCTTTATTGGAACAGCATGTGTCCCGGCCCCCCCCGGCCCCCGCCACACGTGTGCATCGTTTCCATGCTGGATGCGTTTCAAATGTTCTGGGTGCTTACTTGTTCTGGGCTATCTTGCTATCCAATCCTCGTTTGTTTTGCAGAATTGGGATACAAATTATCGTCTAATTACAGCCCAAACCTCAGAAGATCAAATGTAAACCCAGGCGCTTTCCTCAGAGCAGCCGCATCCCCCGACGCTCCCGCTGCCCGTTCGGCTGCTCCGATGGACGTGTGCGATTGGGGTGAAACTGGATAGGAAACTGCCCTTTGATTAACAACGTTATGGCTGGGGGTTTTTTTCTCTCCTTGGTTTTTAGATCAGCCTCCCGGTGTCCGAGCAGCGAGCCCATCCCTGTCCCAGTGCTGAGGGACGCGGCGCCCTTGGTGTGACCAGTTTTATTTCCCGAGCGCTATAAATACGGTCTGATATTCCCAAGTAACTTCAAACTCCTCTTAAGAAAAGTCAAATAGTTAAGATTGTTCAGAAAGTTTAATCTTTAAGAAAACCCTTGGATTATTTTCTCCCTGTTCCCATTTAAGAATATCACCGTAACACTGGGGTTGTGTCTGTGTTCGCCCACTAAGTCCTGTGAATTTGTGCAGATTTTTTGCACAGGTTTTCAAATATTGTTAATGGGAGGAAGCACAAGGTGGCATGTAAAATATTTGTATTTACAGGCGCGTGGTCCCGCTTGAAATATTGACCAGGATTCCCCCAGGTTCTCATTTAATGAATGATGGTTTATTGTACTGACCTCGCACTGGTGGAGCCTTGGCAGGGTCTGGGGTGACCACGGGGACATCAGGACAGCGAGCTACAACTGGTTTGTTTTGTAAAGAGCCACTAACTTGTTTTTCATTCTTTACGGTGATTTTCGAAAGGATAAAAGCAGAGATAAAGGCAAAGGAAATAGAAAATAACCTCCAGTAACCCGGGTTTGATGGTGTCTCATGTCGTGCCGGCCTCTCGTACAGAACAAACGGGCGTTCATCCGCAGACGTGCCTGGGTAGGAATGAGGTGGGTCCCGTCCCACAGAGCATTTGCTCAGCTGCAGGAGGTGGAATTTATCTGATCCCAATTTAAATATCTATCGCTGTAAAATTGTAAAAAAATATCTGTTCTGCTCATTATCAGTCGTGTTTTTAACTAAGACATTGATCTGTTGGATCACCAGCTCATGGCCAGCAGCTCTGGAATATCTCATGCAATCGCGAATATTTGGAAAATTGGAAGTTACCCATTGCATCCACCCACGAAGTCATGACTGAGCTGGACAAGCCTTCCAGCTCCCCGGAATGTAACCCCATGTGGGGACCGGTGCTCGGTCACTCGGCCCGCAGGGAGCAGAGCCCATCCCAGCGCTGGCCATGGGCTCACCCACGGGAACCCAGCCACCGCCGAGGCTGAGGGGTGGCTTGGAAATAAGGACTCCCGAAAGAAAAAAAAAATATTATTTTTTTAATAAAAAATAGTGAGATAAACTGCTAAGAAACAGCAGGAGAAAGCAAGTTTGTTCATTTTTACAGTTGTACAGACCATCTAGCAAGGCAAGCACAGCCCCCTGCTTCATACTGGTATCGCTGGGGGCTCTGCAGGTAAATTAAGGAAACCAACGTTGGGTGATTTTTAGCAAAGTCTCATGAAAGTACAACTGTGACTTTTTGTTATTTTAACAGCTTTTGATAGTGCTTGTTCTGTTCTTAATTTGTTTTCTGGTATAGATGAAAATAAAACCAGGGCTCTGTAGCAGTTCTGATTCTCAAACCTGCGATGAATCCCTGTACAGTGCCGTGTTATGTTTGTAAATGCAGGGTCCTCTTCTCTTAATCCTAAAATGCAACCCGTCCCAGCCAAGCATTATTTTCAAATCTCTGTCATATATCAAATAATAAAATTGGCTTCAGGTAAAGACAGGGCGTTGATCAAATAAAGAATAAAACCTGTGCCCCCATTTGTTGCAGGTTATATTGCGCCCTTGGGAGCTAGAGATTATTTACAGGAATAACAAGAATATCCACAGGTTATAATACAACAAATTGAATTTTTGGAAGGGATTGAAAATTTCTAGTTGTAATTCTCTGGAAAGGATCTGCGTTCTCCACAGGACCGATGAGCTGGGAGCATCCCTGTCCTTCCCTGGGGCACAGGCTGCCGGATGCGATCCTGGGTGGATCTTCCGTGTCCCGCAGGGCTGGAAGCGGGGCTCCGGGGGTGTTTCATCCCACGCAGCTCTCTGAGATGTATCCCCCATGTCCCCCAGCATGGATCCAGCTTGCCATGCAGGAGATGTGTGACCACCCATCATCTGGTCCTTCCCACCGTGTTGTCAACGCTGGTGCCGCTCTGCACCAGCACCTTCTGGAGACCTTCGGAGGCAGGAGCATGGAGAGGAGGACTCTTGGGGCACCCCTGCATCAGGCTCCACTTTTTCATCCCCACAAGGAACACATCTGTCTTTTATCCTGTCTTTCTTTACTTTGGCAGCAGATATTTGAATTTACGTCCCCACTCTGATAACCGAGTCAGCTGGGTCCTGGAGCAACAAGGCACTTTCATGTCATTAATTAGGACCCATTAAAGCCAAGGGAACTTGAGAACGTGCTCGAGCAGTTGGCCAAATACGGCTCCTTTGCTGACTCAAGGTCTTAAATAGTCCCTCTGAAACTGGTGGAGAAACTCCAGTGGGGTGAGCGGAAGCTCAGTAAGGCTTTGAGCTAACTAAAGGCGAGTTAGACAGTTTCAGGAAAACACATTTGTAGAAATGTATACGTCTACGTTCCCACCTCAGAGTGCAAATATTCAAAAGGTGACTGTACAGTTGGCTCTTAACTTACAACCACGACATAAATATCACCTAAAGGTATCACTTTGCTGTGGATCATCTCAGACCCTCCAAGCCCCCAGATCCTCCCCCTTCCCAACAACACGACACATTTGTCCACCAAAAAAAAAAAACAATTAAATGCCATGCCGTATTTCATAGTCAATAACTAGCAAACCCTTGGGTACGAAGGAAGGAAAGGCTTGCTACATAGCAATGCTCTGAAATATTGTTCTGTAATCCCGCTAAAGGCAATGGTTAGATGTCGGGTGCCAGTTGGAGTGGTTACATCTGCCATCTCTCATCGAAGCTGGGATGCTGTCACTCACTTTGAAATGGCTCGCTGCGTTCATCAGTCTGGATGGCACGGAGAAGTTATAACCGTACAAGCCATATGGAGGATGTAAAGAACAATTAAGTGCTTCCCGAGCAATGGGACTTGATGGGAAAATGTTTCCAGATGCATGTAATCCATACAGCATTTGACTGGCAGAATTGGGGGGACATTGCCCGGTTAAGTCTTCAGCTTTGGTGTTTTTCAGGTTGGTTATGCCGAGGGAAGATAGTTTTGGCATCTCCACCATGAAGTGGGGTAAAAGATGTGGGTTGGTGCTTCCCAGTTTTTCATGGCTTGGAAAGAGGAGAGACTGTTGTCTTAGGAAGCTCGTAGGACAGATCTTGTAGTAGAGGGGCACGCTCAGGTTGTGTAGGTAGGTCTCGGGGCACGACACGCCGAGGTTGGTCGCCGACAAGTGAAACGTGGGAGGTGAGCACGATGGAGAGAGCAGGGGGTTGAGAGGAGAGGGGGTCCCACCGCTGGACGTCACCGGTGAAGAACTGGAGCTCCCACCTGAAAGTAAAAAGAGAGATTGTCCAGGCTGGGCTGGCTGATGTTCACCAGCAAGGAACCCTTGGAGGACTTCACATCTCCCTGCTGCCGGTGTCCATTCAAGCGTAAACTTGCTCCAAAAACCAGCTCCTGGAAAATGGGAAGATCTGTCCACACATTATTTGATGTTGTTACTTGGCTCTCGTCTAAGAAAAATACCCACGTGTGTCTAATCCCATCCATTTGACCGGGACAACCATGAAGTTCAGCTCCAGGTACCTGCTGGGTCTGCACCTCGCTATATGACCAATAACCTTCTCCTGTTATACGTACACCATCGCTATTTTAGGCTCCCTATTTCTCGTGCAAATCACAGGCAGCTCTTTCTCCTTCTATGTAAGAAAAAAAAAATGCATTCAGCCCCCCGGAGAATTTTTTTGTACCTTCCTGCTCACAGGAATTGACTAATTCCACTTGGCTTCCCACACAATTTGAAACATACCCTTGGATTCTATAGGTGTCTCCAGAAACATTAAATGCAGGTGTCATTTTAACGTTCTCCTCTCTGAAATGAATCAATGAACATGTTCAGAATTCGGTAGAAAAGCGACACCGGCTCGCTTCACACGTGTGAGCGCTGCCGGGGCCGTTGGTGTACAGCGTCACCGCTCAGCACTGGCTCCCCGCTCCTCCCTACCAACATCCAGACCAAAAATCTAAGAGGTGGCAGCTGCTCTGGCGTGGGAACAGTGCTCTGGCGCGGCCATCCCCGGTGCTAAACAGATGCTGGTTTCCTCAAACACCATTTCAGAGCCGTATGTCTGCTGCACATTCGTTGCCATGTTCTTCCCAAGGTTTTTTTCCACTCCCCTTATTTTCATTTCTTACCAAAGTTACTGGAAAAGGAAGGAAGGGAATGTGAATCCATTTTTTGCTCTGTATTTTTATCTATTTACATTTAATTCCCTTTAATATACTGTCTCAATATGATCTGGACAGACTTTAAAATCAGCAACACAGACTCAGCTGTATAACCAAGCCATATCTGCTAGCATATCATCAAATCTAACTAAAAAAGAATGGCAATTTTGGACATAGTGCAAATTAATTTTGGGTCACACAGGCAGCACTGGTTCGCAATAATCTGAGAATATTTTATGTCTTGAACATCTCCCCCTTCCCCGCTGCTGCCAGCCCGTTTCAGTACCGACATCGGCAGGAGCAGACGCAGGGCAGGGAGCTGGTCCTGGCCCAGGGCACGCGTCCTGACGTCCTCCCAGGACTCAGGGACTTTAGGTCATGTAAAATGATGCGACTGAGACAGTATTTGTGAGTGTGAGGCAGCAAATGAATCCCTACGCAGCTGGCTGTAGCAGGACAAAGGAGCGTTAGCATTTACTTCAAGGTAACAGCACAAAAATTCCAGTCCGAGTTTGGGAACGGGGATCACAGTGGGGAGGACAGAGCAGCTCAAAGAGCAGATTCTTTCTGCCATTAGGCTGAAAAATCCCAAGTTTTTCGCCAATTCTTCCTTCTGCATATTGTTCACACTTTATTTTAATTTACCTTCTGGTCTGGGGGCTTGGGGATTTCTATTTTTCAGCTTTTCTTCAGAAAAACACTTTTATTATTAGTGGAATTTGAGATTTTGTTATATTTACATCAGCCGAAGAAATTGACCCTGAAGAAAAATACCAACTACATTAAGACTAGCAAAATAAATCCCAGGAAGCCCTAATATTTTAGCATTTGTACAATAATCATTGCAGTCGCTGTTTTCTCATTCCCCACCGCAGCCCATCCACCAGCTCCCCTCCCCAGTACCACATCGCAGCCAGAACGGTTCAAAAGGTGCTTTTTGCAGAAAGTCTTTTCTAAATTTAAAAAAAAAAAAAAATCTAATTCTCTTTACAACCAGGCAAACCTCCTAATTTCTCCCGAGTCTGATTTTTTATGTCTCTGCATTTCCACAACCCGAATTTTGGCTGATTTACGCAGTATTTCCCTGCAGAGACGGGAACTTTTTGGTGTGCCCTAATACTTTGAACAGTTCCTGACATATATGAGAGTTAAACTGGTAACTTTAAATGCTCAGTTAGATTTTTTCCTTCGACACCAGAATAATCAATTTTCAGCACTACATCCAAAAGCGTTTTTCTGGAGAAGGGCTCTAAGAGACCGATGTGCGTTTGTCAGGAGATCATTTTCCCTGAAAAACTTTTCCCTCTTCCCTGCATTTCTGTGGAGATAACGGACCGTGGGACTGCTACATCCCAAATAAGAGATAATTTTATTTTCTGTTGAATAACGCATCTGTTCAAAAGCAAGCAGCAGGCTGCAGAAGACACCGGCGGTCATTATTATCACATTTCTAGCTGAAATTCTCAAACGGGTTGGAAACAATTAGTGTAACAGGATCGAAGCTGGAACAACCCGACTCTAAATTAGCCTCCTGCATACTCACGTATCTTTTTCTGCACATCTACATCTGATTTCTGCCAGGCTATGAAGGCAAACCGCCCCGTTACCCTTCTCTTCCCGGCGCGAATCTCTGCCCCTCGAATGGGCTTTAACAGTTTGGTTTTGGTTCGGTTTGGTTTT